ATCTCGGCTATTTCGATCGAACTTTTTCAAAGATTATCACTAGTCCGTTTTATCGAGGAAATACTTTCAAGATCTTTCAAGTTCGTATAGATTTTCTTTAAAATATACGATCAATTAAAATGTCGGAATCAAGTTGTGGGATCATTAACCGACTATTTTCGAGAATGCATGTTGTAAACGTCAATTTCCAGTAAATATCCAAGAAATATTACTTAAATCGCCACCGATACGATGCCAGCCGTGTTTTCTTCCCCTACATTTTTGCTACCGCGCTAATGCAACTCGTCTCGTCCAATATCGAGATGTACTACTGACAAATCCTATACACTTTACAACATCTTTCTAATTATTTCGTTTATTATTCGTTAATTATTTCTAGTTATTTTATTCGTTTTCCGTTTCCATCGTAAATCATTTCAGGAGAATAGAAGAAATCGCTTTTTCTTCCTTTCAAAACTTACATCCTGTTAATGGACCACACCATTGCATTAATCCCGAGTTATACATACTTTTTTTTCTCATTTAATTAATTTCTTTCCAAAATAAGCACGAATCGTACATCTACCGTGCAACTAATTGAAATATATCTCTTCGATAAACACTCACGAATGAGAGAACCGTATAAATATCAGGTTGCGTAAACACATAGTTTCCGATCCCCTCCTGTCGATAAGAAACGATCCATTTGTTAATTACTTTTTTACCCGGCAACTATTTTTAACGATGACCCCGATTATTGATTTATTCGACCGAAATATTTTTGCGTCTCGAGGAATAAGGTCGTCTGCGTTGGAATAAGGTCATATCCTAAAAGAGACTTTTCCTAAACGGGGAAGGGGAGGAAAAGAAGGCGAAAAGTATCTGTCGATGCGCATTTTTAACTTCCTTCCTCTCCAAATAGCGTGTTTTTCCGGTTGTTTATCGGAACGGGGTCGCTGATAAATAATCATCGTCCATAAACGATACGATACGAGGTATCGATAACGTTTTACAGTAATATTCGTTTCAATTTACGACGCCGTCACTGGCGTCTTTATGCCGTACTTTATGCCGCGAGCACACGTTTTCCCTCGCATCGCTCACAAATTTATATCAATTTTTATGATCAATTTTTGTATCTACGATTGAATAGTAGTATATATAAAAGGCATGATCAAAATCTTGACAAATCTTGGAAGGGAAAGTTTTTCTTCAAAATCAATTTTTCTTCCTCGAAGAAAATCCTCTTTTCTTCTTCTTCTTCTTCTTCTTTTCTTATTCATAGAAGAATAATTTTCTCTTCGAGAGTTATTCTGAAAACTTGTGAATGAATTATCGGCTGTCACTGTAACGACGTACACCCGACATAAACCTGTATAATACAACCATGATGGTACGCACGAACGCGCCACGATAATGGGATGGAGTTTCCAGGAAAGGTTACCGGAACGACCTGGAAGCCTTCAATCTGGCCAACTTCCTGACTGCACGACGTGCACCAACTCATGGATATAGACGCAATCATCGCGCACACCACCCTCGAACAATCGGCCCTTTCGCCCGGATACTTGGCGAATTTACATGAGATTCGTATCACGTTGCAATCTGTAAAGAGATTGAATCGACTCTCGCCTCTTGTGGAAACCCGTTCGATCATAAAATCCGCGCCAAGGATAATTGGGTTTAAAGGAATGCAATCTCGCGGTGTATCGAGGCTAATAATGAGTGTTTTTCGTGTATCTTGAGCAATTCTCAAATATTTGTTTGAAGATTGATGATAAATGGTGTGAAAAATATCGAAATTATTCAAATTGTACATTTCTCGTTTACAATAATTGTTAATAAAATATTTTAAATTGCTAGAAACCAATTTTATGTAATTGATACAATTTTAAGAAAAACTCTTCTGAATGTTTCCATAAGAATCCGTAAGATCGTATTAAAATTTCGAGTTGGAAGTTCAAGTATTTATAAAAGTTCGTTCTTATAAAATTCCATTGGAAAAAGATTTTTTTTATTAAAAATTGTTACTGTTTGAGGAACATCACGACTCATTAATCCTCGACAAGGCAGAACAGTAAAAATTTTCAGGTTAGCGATAATAAGTTTGGCAAAAGTTTCTTTTCTCGAGAGCAGATTTTATTAACAGGAAAAATATCGTTAAACGTGTTGGAATCGAGCGTGCTTTATGAGCAACCTTTTTCATGATAGAACTATCGGGATGTTGCTCTGTCCGTAAACTTAGTGGATATTATGGCTATTCGATTTTAGTATTCGTAATTTTCCTCCCGAAACTTTTGAAGAAATCGAACACTTGGTTACAGGTGACAAGAAAAATTTTCTTATAAAACGTTTCGCATTCCCGAAAATATTATAAACGAAATCTTGGATGACTTAATTAACTTTGAACACTATCAAAGTTATTCTTTTGTAATCATCCTTTAATTAAGGGAATAATGTTTTTGCGTCTTCATTTTAAAATTGGAAAATCGTTGAAGTATTCGTGAGATGAGCTCGAAAATTTTAATTCTAATTGAAATATTCGAAAGTTTTAATAAAGGTTACAGGTTAATAAGTTAATAAGTTTGCATATCTTTCAAGGATCTCGGCCAATTTGAAATTGATGGATACTATTATGTTTCAATATTCGATAAAATCATTAGAAGGGATTGGAATCGATCGAATAAATATCGCGCGATGCATGAAATTACGTGTGAATCGAAAAAAAAAATAAAATGTTTCCAGAAATTATATAGAGACAAAACAAGACAAGATGAAATTACGCGAATTATCGGACTTCTTTGGTGAACGCAAATATTTGCACTGTTACGTTGTTAGTTCTGCAATGATTATCTCGGTTGGCTGGCTTTTTATCTTCCTACAGAAAATAAGGAGAAGAAGAAAATGCGAAAATTGTGTCGTGGACGATGTTTAAATAAGAATTGTATTATAGGATCGTACGTTGAAAGGTTCGTAATTGAGGAACGGATTAAATTTCATCGATGGACGAGTGCACAGATATATGTGTGCATGTATCATCGTGTCAACACACGAGGAATCGTGTATCATTCGATATATGTACACGATTGCAATCCATATAATCGGAAATATTATTTATCTGTGAAATTATCGATGCCTCCTAATTTCGATACACAGGAAATGATGTCGAATATTGGGAACGATCAAGCGATGGAACGAACTTTATGAGACTCGTTTCCTTTTCCTCTCACGTGATACACGTTTTTTCGAAATCAATAGCAATAGATTATGGTTACAAAAAAGAATGATATCAAAAATATCACGGAGAGCATTGTGGCGCCAGAATCTCGTGAATCGAGTTAATCTTCATCAGTTCTTATACAGTTACCCATGGCTAATGAAGTATTGAAACGAGACGTGACAGAAAGAAAAGATATAAGGAGCAGAGTAAAAATAGTTCTATAATCAGAGAGTTTGAGAAAATAAAGGAACAGAAAGAGAAAGAGAGGAAAGCAGAGAGAAACAAGATGAAGATTCTACGTTAATTATAAGTTTTAAGTTAATTATAGTAGGTCATTTTGCTTGGATCTTTAATTGATCGATTATGAGAGATAAAGGGCGCTAGATGAAGGAATATTAAGTCTAGACTTTCAAGAGAATATTGCCATTTTCTTTGAGCAAGTGTTATTAATCGTACAACCGGAACAGTTATGCGAATACAAGGCCACTCTCTAAAGCAAATTGCATATACACGCTGCTTTCTATTAATTCCTATTGCGTTCGTTGCTACTCTGAAATTAATCTCAAATATCTCGTGATTAGATTCGTTGCTAAAGGATAAATGGCTCGACGATGCAGGAAATATGAAAACAATTTAACTGCATAATAAGATATCGTACGATAGTAAAATCAGTTAACCATCGATTAAATTCAAATTTCAATTTGTATTTTCGTTTTTGATTGATAATAAAATGTAGGTGCAAAATTATTTGATTTTATTGCGTAACATCATTTTTAATCAAACTCGTATAAATATAGAAAGAAAAATAAAATAAATAAAAATAAAAGATTAATCGATGCATCATCAATCAATTTTTTAATCTTTTTCATAATTGTTAAATATGGAAAATATAAATCATAAAATAAAATATGAAAAATCTTTATGATAATATATATATATATATATATATGTATATTTTTCAAAAGAGATTTTTTTCAAAATTTAATTTTCACGAGTTCCATAAATTTTAAAGAGAAAGTTTCGTTCCTTCGATAGCTCACATTATCTATTATTATATCGAATTGTATTATATCGAATATCGATATCGATACATTATATCGATATATCGATTAAAAATTATCTATTAGATTAATGTAAAAAGAACTATTTAATTTATTAACAGAATAATGATAAGTTAAAAAAATTATTATATATTTGATTTTTATTAAGAAAAATATATTTATATTATATTTTTATAAAATTATATATTCCATGTCTCTAAGAATAAGCGAATTATGCGAAAGTTCAATTATCCCATATTTCAAACATTTGAATTTCATTGGTGGAATAAAATCAACCAATCAAAACGAGACTAAGAAAAAAGGTTCGATCAAGCTTGATTTGACGTCCATAGTTGTTACAATTTTTAAAATAAAGTAGAAGTGATTGTAAAATGTATAATTTCTATTCTAAAGTTAGTGATTTTGATCAAAATTAACGATAGTGTGCATATAAAGTTCGTTACGTGCATGTCGTTCGTTATAAAATTTATTTATGAATAATACGTCGTTCAGTTTATGTGAAGTTAAGTGTAATTTACTTCATTATTGTTGTAATGTACAATAAAATTTTATCGAAGTCTTTAATAATTCCAACTCAATCAATGATAATTGCTCATATCAAGAATTCTACACTTCAATATTACAAAAAATGTACGTATTACAAACAATTCTGTTATTTTCAATCATTATATATAAATTATGTATTAATATGATAATGAAACAATATATTCTACATATATTACATAAAAATATTTAATCTGTAATGTATAAAATATATCCATTTATTAATTAATACATAATCGATATTTAATTAATACAATTAATTGCTTTATCTGGAGTAATTGTTTTATCTATATCTGGAGTAATTGTTTTATCTGTATCTGGAATAATTGTTTTATCTTTATTTGGAGTAGTTTCTTTATCTGTATTGTGTATAAATATAGATCGAGGTTCCATTATTTGTGCATAATTTAATGTAATTGTATCATTCATTGTTTGTTCTATTGTATCTTCCATAATTGTAAATTTTCCTATTGGTACTTGCACTTCAGACAAACCTCCTATGAATACATATAATAAATCATTATAAATAATCAAAAATATATAATGATAATTTCTTTTTTGATATATATGTTAATATAAAATCACATACGTAATATTTTAAGAATATATACTGATGTTTCTGGACAATAAGATAAAATCTCTGCTATAACAAAGTCTGATATTTGTGGTGAATAATCTGATCCAATTTTGAGCATCTAAAAATTAATTTTTACATATATATTAGAACAAGTGTTTGTTAGTATTTTAAAAAATTACCTTGAATGCAATGATATCCTTGAGTTGTGGTTTTTCTATCATAATTGGATACGTTTGGAAATCTGTATTTAATAACTTTTCTAAATTAATATTATTAGTTGAAGCTATGCCGTTATTGATATTTTCACGAGATTGTACTTTTTGTGGGTCCTGTATTTCTTTTATTTTATTATTTGTAAAAGTAATAGGAGTAGAATTATTACTTAATGATAATAAATTAGCTAATTCATGAGAAGGTGATACATGAGTTGTATTAGTTCCATTCATTATTTGTTGACATTTAGGTTTTCTTTCCTCAACATTATTATCTTCTGAATCATCGAAACGAATATGTTTGCCAAAAGGAATAATATAAGAATTAATAATCTTAGGTTTATTTGATTCATTTTCTTTTTTTTGTATCATTGTTTCTTCAGCTGTTGTCTTCTTTTTTTTATGTCTTACACGTTTTCTTTTCGGACATGCGAAGAAATTTGTAGATACATCAAATTCTTCTATAAAATATATATCAATAGATTTTAATTTGACTATTAATTATTTCATATGTGTTCTTACCATTTTGAGATTTATTCGTGACACTTGATATTTTCAATTCGCGTTGAAATGAATTTCTAGTTTCGTTTGGCCTTACAAAACTATTCTCTTGTATGTTTTTCTCATTTGGTGAAATAGCAAATGAGTCAAAATGATTATTTATGGATAAATCAAAGTGGCTATTTAATCCAGATCCAGGAGAAACCCTGCAACAGTTTCATATAAATAACGCAATAGATTTTTATATATTTTTTTTTTAAAAAATTCTCACAGAATTATTTCGTTTTCTTTCAAAATGCGTATATTCTCGCTAGGTGGTAAATATTCGTTTTCATTTAATAATAAATGGAACGGTTCTTTGATATTCAACAATTCTGTAATATGCTGTTTTACATGACTAATTTTAAACATATTTGTACTGTCGATAAAAATCCAAGAAAAACGACGCGCATCATTGTAGAATTTACACAAATCGAGTTTAACGCGGAAATTCGGCTGAAACATATTTCCTTTTAACGTTATGTTTTACTGATACGATGGACAATCCGTTTACCGAGCTTTGTCGAAACGTATCAAGACTCGTGCGAAAATAAACGCAATTTTCTAGGTTAATGTACATTCAGAAATTATTACTCTGCATTTCGAAAGAAAAGTAATATTTTATGCTAGATAATATCATGTTTATTAATAATTATATAATTAAATTTGAATGTATGAGAAAAAATTACATCCATTCATTCATAATTCATATTTTTTTTTTAATAATAATAAAACGAAGATAGAATAAAAATTCGCGAGCGCCATCTCCCGAATGTCGTAAAATATAAATATAGATAAAGAGAGTAAATAGCGAGAGAAAGACAGAGATAGGATAAAAATTCTGATATCAGCGCCATCTCTAGAGTGCCGCAAATGAAACAGAAATTTAAACAAAGAGAGTAAATAATGGAAGAAGGATAGAGATAAAATAGGCTGAAAACTGACGTTCAGCGCCATCTCTCGAGTAAAAAAGAAAAGTCGTTCTAAAAGCATCTAAGAGATGGCGCTGAATCTCAGTTCTGAATCTCTACCTTGCTTTGGAAGAAATGTCAAGAGATGGCGCTGACAGTTAATTCTTACCCTATTTTCATCCTTTTTCTATTATCTCTCTTTATCTACATTAGTTTCACTTTTATTCCAGAGATGGCGCCACCGTTAACATTTTTACGCTATTTCTGTTCTTTTCTATTACTTGCTCTCCTTGTCTACGCTTATTCCGCAAAATGTATATGTTCAAAAGACGGTTCCAACATTTGATTAATTTCATTATACTTTTTATCCAATTCTAAATCAAATCAAAGTTTATTTTTATTAAAAAATTATATATAATTTTACGCGTTTGCATGTTGTGCGCGAATTTATATATTTTAATTAGTTATTTTATTATCACACTATACAAGATATTATATTATATTTTATATCTTAATCATAATTAATTCAATGATATCGAAAATTTTTTAATACTTTATCTTACATGAAAATTTCAAAGATTGGGAATATATTGAAAGAAACTTTTCAAGATGAAATTGAATATGACACTCATCTTTTATTTAATTTCTGGTAACGCAATGATATAAAGTCAAAGGCTTAGACTACTTAATAATTTGTCACCACATATTTCCTCCGGATCTATGCTAAAAATAATTGCAATCGTGTCAAATACACGACCTGCCTCCGAAACTCCGTATGACGTAGATCTATTGTTGTTCTTATCTTATGATATTAATAGATCTTCGTTACTTGTTGGATTGTTCGCAGCGGTTTTGAAACCGGTTCGTCTTATTACAACATTACAACTTTATTAATCTAAGTAACACGAAATAATTGAACAGGTCAGGTAAACGCACGATCTCAGCGAAAAGTTCGTCCAATAATTAGAGAATTTGGAACGATCGAAACGTATCGATTTGATTCTCGAGATTACGAGTTTTTTTTTCTTTTTTTTTCCCTTTTTTTTTTTTTTTTTTTTTTTTTTTTCTTACACTGAAATAACGTTAATCCCGTTATCGTGATGCGCGACATCTTCATAAATCGCTGTTGAAACGCGTTAAATTACATGACTGCTGCTTAATCGTGTATACGTATATGTAAGTAATTTATGTAAAATTATAACCCAATGTGGGCTTTCGATTCAACGAGATATCCACATCGCAAGGCTCTTTTATTTACATAGAATTTCTACCATTAAATGTACTAACGTGTATATTATAGATTTTTTTTTTTTATTTTTTGTAATCTGAATAATACGTTCGAAAAAACGTGACATCTCTTCCCAATACGATAAATTATACGTATATATCATGCGATATATTTAAATCGATAAATTTTTCCATCTAATATTAAAAAAATCAATCAACGATCGTTGCACGATATTTTCTTTAAAATTTATAGACACAACGTATATATATATATATACTCTTCTCACGTTTACGCTCTAATCACGCGATGAAAACGCAAACTCGTCGACAAATTCTACGATCTCCGTTTTTTACGTTCATCGTGTCAATTACAACTACTACTTCAAAAAGCTATACGCGATCGAGTAGAATTTTTTTGTACATGTGCATTACGTTTCATTTTTCACCTGAACTTTTTCATCGTGCTCGCGGTTAAATCAGGTTTGGAGCAAAGGCGATCGGCGTTGCAACGATGCGCGAGTTGTCCACGCGCATCGTTTCGCCTTAATTGACTAAATAATTCGATATTTTTCGCGGTGGTAACAGGAGAATGACACTTTTGTCGCTCGTTTTTTTTTTAGAGATGGACGACGGGATGTTGTGACACGTGGTCTTTTTCAATACAAATCGAACAAATCGAACCGATTACTTCGAATAAATTATACACGTATATATATATATATATAATACGGGGGGGGGGGTATAAAGAACAGCATAAAGAATTGCTCGATGTAAATTGAATCGAATGTAGCCAATAAAACTGCTTTATAAAACGTTCTTTGGCCGTTGTTAATGTTCGTAAATGGGTAATAAGATAGTGAGTGAGTGGGCAGTGGGAAACAACGCTGAAATAGGATACCTTTGTAAGATACTTTGATATATCTGGAATCGAATAATTCGGAATAATTATGCCCAACCAATATTTCGATCGACGTACGGCGTCGTTTGTTTCGATCTCTTCTCATCGATCCTCGATGAAATTCGATGAAATTCGGGTAACGTTTGGTGTGACGTTTTGCATCGAGAAAAGGGATCGTGGAACAAGGATGATCTCTTAATTAAAACGAATCGGGTCGTCCCGTCGAGGAATAATTATCTCCTATATTATCCTTATTAAAGTCGCGATAAAGCGTGTTTACCTCCGCTCGCGCGCTCGTGATTTCTTCCTTTCTATCTAGGAACAAGAAATTTTCAATTTTTCGACGAGAAAATTTTTTTACTTAACATCAAGTACGTAGATTCATTCACTCGCTATTCACATCGAATTTTCGAACGATAAACATCGAAATAATTGTTGTTTCTTATTTTTCTTTTTTTCTTTTTCTTTCTTTTTTTTCAATCGGGAAAAATCAGCTGAACTCTCGAGTCGATAATGGTAAATTCTTAAAAATCGAAAGTTCCCTCGCGAAAGAAATGTTCGATCGGCGTCACGGCGTTCCTCGCCGATCGAAGAAGAAGAAATTACGCGTCCCCTCTCCTCCTATCTTTTCGACCGTCGTCGTCGTTTATTCGTGCGATCCGTTATTCGATCCGGGGCCGTTTTGACGGATCGATTTGAGAATCGGCTCGTGGCGATCGTCGATTCCATCATCCCTTCCTCCTCTCGAATCAGGTGAGAAACAGTCGGCCATTCGATTTTCGTTTACGACAGTATGCAGGAATTCCTTTTCGACTCGGAACGTTCACGGATCTGCTGCAGATGCTGCAGCTGAGCCGGGGACGGGACGTGTGCGCTGCTGCTGCGAGAATTCAAATGTTGGGGCGGTGGCAATGATTGCCTGCGGCGACGTCTCAATGCCGGGCTCAGATTGTACTTCAGCTTGGCCTGGATCAAAAGCTCCTTGAACACCTGTGAAATGTTCAAATTCTCCTTCGCTGACACCTCCACGAAACCGTTCTCCCATTTCATCGTTACCAACTCTCTCGTGCTGTCCGTGTCCACCTGGAAATATACGTTCGATTGTGGAGCTAGCATAAATTACACGTGGAATCAATCCTTTAAATGAAATTATATATTAAATATATATATCGATAATCGTAGCTAATTATTAATTAAAAGGGTTTTAAATTAATTATTAAAAAAAAGGGAGCTTTATATTTTTATACAATCAATTTTGAAACTCAAGATCTCGATAGACTTTCTAATGAATTTTTAATAGACACAGTTGATCATTTTTCTGTAAAGAAATGTCGAGCAATTTAGACAAGATACGAAAGAATCTAGCTAATTATTAATTGAAAGGGTAGAGTTTTATATTTTTATACAATCAATTTTGAGACTCAAGATCAAGACTTTGTAATGAATGGGCAATTTTTAATAGACACGGCTGATCATTTTCTGTAATGTCGAGCAACTTAGACAAGATACGAAAGAGATGAAAACACATTTTTAAGTACAAGGCTAATACACTTTGATTTAAAAACGAAACTCTTCTCTCGAAACAAGTTGTTCGAAATAGCAATAACTTTTCTCGATTACATATGCGAGAACAGTTCGCGTTAACCCCTTCTTTTTGAAAGAAATTTACCTGTTTCTCGGTGTCGATCAAATCGACTTTATTGCCAACGACGACGATCGGCACCGCGCCCTTCGTGTTGAGGATTTGCGCCCTCAGCGTCTTCACCTCGAGGAACGTGTTGGCGTCGTGGACGTCGTACACGAGGATAAACGCGTCCGCCGACTTGATGGACAGATCTCTCATCGCGGGGAACTCGTACGAGCCCGATGTATCCAGGATGTCGAGGGTCAATTGTATACCGGAAACGTTGAAATCCCCGTGATGCATCTCCTCCACCGTCCTCTTGTACTTGGGGGTGAACGTGTTGTAGAGGAACTGATTGATTATCGCCGATTTCCCCACTTTCGCCGCCCCCATCACAACGATCTTGTGCCTTATCGAACTTTCCGCGTGCTTCCCGCCACCGCTGTCCGATTCCGACAGCCTCTCGTTTCTGAAAATTTGTTTCGATAAATTTGCGCCACTCCAGGAATAAAAAGAAATCGATGGTAAAAATATCCTTCGAAATCCAATCGAAACGATATTTGTTAAAAAGTGTTCGAGTAATTTAAATTAAAGGAGAAAGATTTATAAAAGATACCTTACTTTCGATTCGATTCAATCGTTCTTAAGAAAGTGAGCGCATCTAATAACGATCCAATCAACGATTAAACGGATGATCGAATCATGCTAGGCCGTGCAATAAGTTAAATAAAGTTGGTAACAAACCCCGGCCAGAGGCTTTTCTCTTCTTCGCCGCGCCATTTTTCTTTACGACGCGAAGCAAGGTAACGGTGTGACACCTGAGCAGGAGGGTGCTAATAAGACAGGAAACGGTCTCATATTTAAGGGGACAACGTCCCAGGATGGAGAATAGCGCTAATGAACGTTAAAGATCCCCTTTCATCGGGGAACACGCGTTATTGAATACGTTGTTTCGTGCACGGTGGTCTGAATTTCTGAGCCGCCATTTACTCCGTCCCAGAGTATATATACACTCCGCCGGTGGAAATTGTGGCGACGATGATGGGCGCGCTTTTGCATGCACCAGATAACAACTGTTCCCTAAGTATCTTCGTAATCATCCACGCTTATTACGTGGAGGAGGAGAGCGAGACGCGGTTATTACTTGGCCGTGCACAAAGGAGAGGAGAGCGCGAGCTTCCCTTTTTGCCAAGAACTGGCCGCAAAATTAAAGCTCTGGCCTAGGAGTGGAGTCAAGAGGGGAGGTCAGGGGATCGAAGAGGAGGGAGGGGTGGAGAGAAGAATGGAGAGAAAGGGTGGAGGGAGGGGAATATAGCGAAAGAATCTTGCGAGAACCGATTTCTCGAACGATGGAATACGAAAGGTTTACCTTAAGAAAATTCGTTTTCTTTTCTTATCCGCGTTTTCAATCCTTTTTTTTCTTTTTTTTCTTTTTGTTATTTGTTTCGAACTGGCATTTCGGAAAGATTGAAATCAGTTTGCACTTTTGTGGAAGGAATCTCGTAGCTTTTTTTTTTTTCTTTCTTTTCGAAACAAGAGAAAAAAGGGTAGGAGTAAAGTGTACCTCGGGGACGAAAGAAAGGAAGATTCTTTTTTTCTTATCGGAGGAGGTGAAGGATTTTCGAGCGCGAATAAGACAGATTTGGAGAAGGAGTTGGAAGGTATAAATCTTCTTACCTAACGTTTTTCGTCGTACCATCTTCCTGGCCCTCCTTCAGCGACGATGGTTGTAGACTGAAACGACGGCGAAATTGATGCCGACCTTTCATCATTTGTGCAGGGATTTTCCTGTAAAAAAAACAGACGTAGAAAAAGAAATTCTTAGGTTAGCGAAAACAAGAGATAACTCTATAGTTCAACCGTGTTCATTGTAGCGATCATAGGATCTTGTGCATGTACATTTTCATTTTAGCTAGTGGATACTTTTTAATCTTTCGCGAGTATATCTTCAAGTATTTGCTCAAAGCTAAAGATGAATCTAAATCTTTTTTTTGAATGGTTTCGTGAAGAAACGATGAACTTGCACCATCGAATCTTGATTAAATAGATTTAATCTTTTCGCGAATATACGTATATATATATATATTCGAATGGGTACTCGCTCAACAGGTACTTAAACAAATTGACCATCATATTTACGTAATAAAACGAATCTTTTACATTAAATTTAATTTGCTTCCGTGACCGCATCTCATTTACCGATATAAATATTTTCTTACGGCAAGAAGAAATTTCAAACAAAATATCGCGCGCTGGATCGATATTAAATCGACGTGATTCGGTCAAAGACGAGGACGAGATATCCATCTTCAAAAAAATCACGAAATCTCGAAATCTTTTGTGAATCGAAAAACAATTACAAAGGAATAATCGATCATTTTTCTCATCTTTTTTCGCGTTAATTACGCTTTTATTTCGAAATGCTCCCCCCTTCGAGAAACTTACTTGAAACGTATTATTATGTATAACGCGAGCGTTAAATTTAATTCCCCCTTATCTTTCGTCCCGTGACTTTCGAAATTAGTTTGCGTAATTCACGGGCGTGGCCGGGGACAATTAACTTTAGAGGCGAGATTGGCACGTTTCGAGCGTGTGTACGCATATCGTTAAAAAGTTTGGAACGGTTGGGAACAGCGGTCGGCCAATGGAGCCGATTGATCCACCTACGTGGATAGGCGGATAGATAGTTCACGTTTCTGCTGATAAAGTGGAACGAGCCACACGTGTCAAATATCGTATCGATCGGTAGTTTAATCGCGCCACGACAATCGAGATTGTCGATACACAACGTGAATCTACGTTCGTTGAATACGTGCTTCTTTCGTTACCCGCGAATCTAATTTCAAGGGAAAATCCCGACTCGGGATTTTGTGAATTGGATCAATGGAGGTTGCCAGGGAGTATCGGTGATTTGATGAGAAACTTGCTTGGAGGAAATGGGATTTAAAGGAAATATTTATAGTTTTCATGGATAAAGATTCGATTCAGATGTTTTACGTAAATTTTTTAATCGCTCGATTGTGTATGTAAAGTTTGTCTTCGATCATTTTTTTTAAGGAAGAAAATATTCGATCAATGCTGTTTTCGTTGGCAAAATTTTAATTTTAATTCTTGTAAATTTGATCTCACATTTTTTTTTATAATCACTATCCTCATGATAATATTTATTCATCTTATAATTAATATCTTATATGTTATATTCGTTCATTTCCCGATGAAAATTACTCGATCGAAAATTACTAATTCGGAATCTGTAAGATGGTCATCTTAATTTCCTGTTGCTTCTGAGAACATTTCCTCCGTTCCAATGTAACTTTAACAAGTTTCTCGCAGGCCTTTCTTTCCTTCTGTCCCGATTTTTTCTTGCATTAAATATCTACCCTCTGAGCAACGAAGTAATCAGCAATTTGAAATTGTTCGTGGAAGTTTCTTGTTTGAATTAGCGTTATTTTCATATTTTCAACTAATCACGAGAATTGATGTAAAAGAAATTGGGACGGATATCGTGGAGTTAATGGAAGATCCACTTGCAATTGTTCAAATTTTTTATCTTCCAATTATTTTCTGAAAGATATCAAATACGTTAATCCGATAATATTTTCATTTCTCTTTTTTTCGTAAACGAAGAGCGAGCCGCAAAGTTTATGAAAAAATGAATCACAATTATACAAAAGCGAGATTATTCTTATTTAAGTTTTGATAACTAATCTCGCTCAAAAGTCAAACCAAGCATAAGTCCGATTCCAGATTCAACGCTTTCCCACTTTTTCCTACATTAGAATTCCATTTGTACGAATCTTAATAAATCAGTATAACAAGAATCCGTTGTTATTTCCAACTTATCGTTCGAATAATCAATATTCAAATTTTTTTCGGATAATCGAGAAAAACCAAATTTATATCGATGATTAAAAATTCAACAATTTTTAAATATAACATAAGAGAAATACACAGCAAGTACATTAATCCATTTTCAAAATACCAACGTTTAAACGTTCCAGTTTAATAAATAATAACATACATTCTTCACAGACGATCATTTAATAATTTTCTATTTATATTTACAAATACAAAAACAGATCGATATAAACGACTTTTGTTTCTCGTCCCGTAACTGACGTTTTCTAATCTCGGTCCATCCGATTTTCCAATTCCCCATGGATAAACACGTGGAACTCACCCTTACGAACGTTCGTAGCTGCGTAACACAATTTCCCATCGAGATAAACGATATGCGTGTCCCACGACGTGCTCTTCGTATACGTATTTGCTAGGAAACAAGACCTGGTAAATCGATAGACGGTCACCGATAATTTCCAAGCAACCGTGTGAAAACTTGATATCGCTTGTTTTGATTGTATTTTTCGAGTTCGATGCAGCGTACCTGCCCTATATGCTATAACCTGCCCGTACTATTTACGTAAGATCGCGTATTAAAGGAGGAAAATTTAATTTTCACGAACAAAGAGGAGATACTTTTACTCGCGTAGTTTTCATTATGGGAGAAAGCATCTTCGTATAACATCGTATCGAGCAACAATAAAACGTTTACCGTTTCGTTGGAAAATTTGATGGATCGTTTTCATTGTCCAAAGAAAAAAAAAAAAACAGACACGATTTCGAGGAATTTTACGGTACGCTTTGGGATTAGCGCGCGCATTGTCTGCGTAGGAAGCTCGCCTCCAGCCATTAAATTACATCCAACACTAAGATGCTTGGAGTTAAGACAGTTTAAGTTAAAGTTCGTGTTAATATCTCCTTTCGCAATAACCAAGGAGTTTCCATTTCCTTTTTAACGATGAAATATACTTAATCGTGCAATCGAAACTTCTTGATAAAAATTTTGGATATTTTCGAGAATCAATGTCTTGGAAATATCGTTTTCACTTATCGAAGCCAATATTTTTTCTTGAGTTGAAAGATACGGGCATACGGGATGTAAGCTAAAAGACATAATTCAAACTTTTGACACGATAATTTTGGACAGTTGAGAATTAATTACCTGGAAACATCGATTTCTTTTCTATCTAAACTATTTATTAAAAAGTTCGAATCTATTCCGGTCCGCGACATTTGGAACGAAAAAACTGCTTTAATAACTTTCTCGAAATATAATTCACGACAGAATTCGAACTTGCTCGCAATATTTTTATATCGTCCATTTCGAAAGTAGTAAAATAAAATTGGCGAGGGGTCGATCCCGGACAGTGGCCGGGCCGCGTTTTAATCTTCGCCCCCTTATTGCGCCCATAAAGCTTCCAAGCATCGAGTTATCGACTCACGATATCGATCAACAATTCCTCCTCCCCTCCCCTCGATTCGATATTACGCTCGTAAACCATCGATCGGCCCGGACAACTTTTAATCCGGTTCCTCCTCGAGAATTTATCTCCACCGACGCGAAAACCTTTTTCGAATTATATTGCATAGCTCGATATCGATGCCGTCGATGCATCGCCGTCTCCGCCCCGGGGTTAATCAGCCCCGTCAAAATCTATTTGGTCGATTCCTCCTCCCTCCATTGTGATTCGTATTTCGATACGGTTGTCACGCGATATAAATTGCAGTAATTAGGGGACGTGGCACGAGCGTACTAATATATGCGTCCCGATTTGTAATTAACCAACAGGGAAGCGATATCCCTCTATCCCGGGAGACTTGGCAATTACGCTTCTTTCCGAGCATTCCCAATAACCGGGGAATCGGGTCTATTATTAGAATACGAAACATCGTGCATCGTGGGCTATTTCCAGCCTTCCCCGCCAAGACGTATCTCCGAGAAATTGAAAACGGACCAATTCCATACGATTCGCTTTCGAAAACGTAGATCCCATCCACGAAACACCTTTCGAGCCAAGAGAATGGGGAAAAATATATCTCTTACGTACGCAGTATAATCGAGATCCCTAGAATTTCTAGAAATAATCCTCGGCTAAGCAGATTCTAAAGGGGATTCTCGTTATCCCTTCCGTTTTCTTTCACTTCACCTCCCTTAGAGGTGAAAGAGCGTGTGCAGAGTTGGTTTCCATACGATTAATCCATCTTATCCGGCCTCGTCATTGGATTGGAGATTGGAGAACGTGTGAATCGTGGTATCGTTCGAGAGGATGAAGATTATAGATCGGGTTAGATACATTTCGGATCGATAGTCAGATTATTCGGGAGGGGGAGGAAGAAAAAAAAAGTGAAGCGGATAGGCGCGTTATTGAGACTTTATTGTGCCGCATTTCGCGATAAAGATTTATTGCCAATATGACCGCGCTCTCCCCTTTTATCTAAAGCTTCGAAGCTCTCGATTCTTTTTTCAACGATACAAATATATGTATATATTTGTCGAAAGTGGATGGATAAGCGCTGTGATGTGAATTGTGCCCCTTCACACGCATTTGTCGATAAATACATGGGTCGTGAAGGAAATTCGAATCGAGGAAAGGAGAGCGTACGGATGGGGGCAAAGAATGGAAAAATAGAATAGATGTAGTCTCGGTGGAAGGAAGGACGATTGACGTGCAACCCTTGAACCGTGCGTCGTGGCTCGACGCGTCCACGGTGTGACATTAATTAAATTCAATGACTGCGTTAATGCCAGCGTTAACGGCTCGCTGAAAAAGTCACTTGACTGTTTTCCGATAAAGGGTGTCGCGTCGGTTTAACGTTGAATCCAAGCTCTGGACACGGGTAACCGCTTGATCTACATGTGTATCGGTGGAAAGCTCGACCCTCGTTAGAGAATGAATTTTATTCCAAATTAATTCCTTTCCCCCTTTTTTCTTCTTTTTTTAACAACT